GGCTGGTTAGTGGTGGAAAATGCTAGCAAATTGTCTTTTTTCTATAGGGATCCAGAGCGTCCGTTTGACACCGAACGTCCGAGGAATTGGGGCTCGTTTGGAGCAGAACTCAATGGGTTAAAGCCGTGGCGAAGGGGTGGTTTCAGATGCTTTTTGGGAGGCTGGTTAGTGGTGGAAAATGCTAGCAAATTGTCTTTTTTCTATTTTTTCTATAGGGATCCAGAGCGTCCGTTTGACACCGAACGTCCGAGGAATTGGGGCTCGTTTGGAGCTGAACTCAATGGGTTAAAGCCGTGGCGAAGGGGTGGTTTCAGATGCTTTTTGGGAGGCTGGTTAGTGGTGGAAGATGCTAGCAAATTGTCGTTTTTCTATAGGGATCCAGAGCGTCCGTTTGACACCGACCGTCCGAGGAATTGGGGCTCGTTTGGAGCAGAACTCAATGGGTTAAAGCCGTGGCGAAGGGGTGGTTTCAGATGCTTTTTGGGAGGCTGGTTAGTGGTGGAAAATGCTAGCAAACAATCCAGAGAGCAGGCAATGAAACGCTCCGCACGGGCACGGACCTCGACACCGGAAAGAAACGACGATTCCAGAAGAGCAACCTTTAAAAGGACGACTGAAACCCCTGTTCGAAAAACCCTCGCAATGCCAACCAGTGGAGGAAAAGCCGGACCTGAGAATCCGGGGTCGGCGGCAGGGGCGGCAGCCCTTAATATTTACCCGGTCGCATTCCGATCGACCAATACAAGAGGTCGGTTGACCTGGCTTTGTCGTCTCAGATTCTTCAATCAACACATACACATTATTCAAAACATAACGGTCGTTGTTGAAATCCCAGGGTATAAAGAGATAGAGATGCATGGGTTGGGCGAAACCTAGCTCGCAAATGATATGAAAAACCAACAATTCCACGTCTGATGTCAGTTTCCTTGGAAAAGAAAGGGTTCAGCAACTTTCCAGCTGCTCGTTTCCCCAATCCCGCAAAAGCCACCGCCGCCCCTCGTTGCCTGGCTCGTGAAGGGTGCGCCACAGCCGGCCTGGTGTTTGTTCAATCAGAAAACTTGGTTCAGGACATGCTGTTGGCCTCTTCTTAAAGATCTCTGTTAATCAAACACAAATCGCTTAGAATCGATTCAGTGCATAAAAACAAATACAACGATTTCACTTTTAGGGTCTCTCCTTTGAAGGTCCAGCAGGATTCCTCGAAGTCTTGCTTTTATTCTAGAAATTCGGGGCCAGGCCAGGCGGCCAGTCTTCTGCAACCTTTAGGGTCAAAGTCAAAGTTGAAGTTGTTAAAATTGGGCCCGGATAGAGATGGCCCACGGAAATCTTCCACACCATGACACGGCGTGTCCCATGCCATCCATGTCCCATGCTCATTACATGTCAATGTATCCCTCATGGACGGCCCCATGAGTGGACGTGGATTCTCCTTCCTGTAAAACACATCTCATCCGACGTCCCGCAAAGCACCCCATGATGTCAGCTGTGTCAAACCCAACAAAAAACGAACCGCAAATGACCGTAGGCGTCTAGCCTCAGTCCCAAAACCGGTGGTTTGCATGAAAACCCAGCTGTCCAAGCTGGTCATGCATAGGCTCTAGCCATTTGGCATAGGCTCTAGTGCTTGGACGTCCTGATCTTCCGATCCCCGTGTCGAACCATGGAACAGTGTGACCATTATTAAGAATATAGCGTCGGACAGGCATTCTAAAAAAGAAATGCCCTGCAGGCATTCTAACTCATCTCTATGTAGGGAGTAGAATTCACATAGTTTGGCATTCTATCTTTCAGTCCGACGCTATATACTGGACTTCAAATGAACATAATGAATCTATGAAACATGCTCGCAGCATCTCGCAGCTGCTCTAGATGTCCACCAATATCTTTCCCTGTTGATAACTCTTCCAGGTGTTTCAGTTGTTCATCACTTGTCGGTGTTCGAAACCATTCACCGAAATCAAACGGATTCCCCAACCCACCAGCATCCATTCCAAGGGCCCGACCTGACTGCCGCCCCCACGCGGGCTGGCGAGCGCGACCGCCTGGTCCGTGCCGTTTCGTGCCGTTTCGGACCCCGGTGCCGAACGCGGAGGGCCCCGCCATCGCTTCAGACGGGCCCGGTCCGAGTTTCGCCACCGGCGTTTCGGTGTCTTCGGAGAGGTGTTTGGTTGGGTGGACCGGTGTCAGGTCCAGGTCCACCAAGCCACCGTTGGATGGCAGCGGGACTTTGGTCACTTCGCGCTCTAAAAGCGAAAGGGCGGGAGTCGAGGCCAAAACCTGGTCCAAAACCGCTGCGGACGTTGAAGGTCCCAGTCACTGCGTAGCCTTAAAAACGATCAACATGCTATGATGTGAGTGTTTGATTTCTCCATCCAACAAATTGCGAGCAGGAACACCGTGCAGCTCCATGTTTCATCAACACTTCCAGATCTGTACCCCACCAACCCAAGACTTCATCACCAAGAGCCATGGGTTCAACTCCAATTTTGGATGGCCCTATCTGGGACGAATGCGCGCGGCCCAGTGGATCCAGTTTTCGATTGCCGGATTTAGACTTAAAGAGATGTACCTTTCTTGGAGAGCCCTTTTCAAATCAGTGGAACTACCAACCACGCTCTCGTTCTTGTTTGTGCATAGCTATGCTGACAACCTCAGTTTCCCTTGGAAATAAAGGCCGGCCCTGTTTCCACCAGTGGGGATTCCCCCCAGCCACAAAAAGTTTCAAGGTTATCCACTTTTCCTGGGCAAGCATGGGAACCACTCATCTTTGCAAAGCAAACCTATTGGTTGGGGCGGCCACCCCTGACTGAAAGGCCCACTGCTTTGAACGAATGAACTTCGAAGAACAAGGCTCTGCCGCAGTGAAATGATGGGGGCGCACCCGCGCCAAGTTACCCCATCCGTGTCTGTCAGAAGAGGCAGTTAAAAATATAAGGCCCTTTCTTCGCCCCACAAAGCTCATTCACGCACCTGGCTGGCCAGCGGGAAATCGCCACTGGCCTCAGCAATCGAGCAGCTTGGGGCAAAGAACAGCACAGTTATGCAAACCGCGTGCAACTTAGCTGCGCAACTGCGTCCATGGGCAGCTCTGGGTTCGTCAGTCTCCGGCACGGCACAGTGCAATCGGTCTTTCTCATGAACCTGCAAGTCCAGTCATGCCCGTAAAAAGCTGCAAAATACCCCATGAATATTTGCTTCGGCTGCGGTTTTCCATTTCATAAATCATAGGAACAGGATGAACTCACTATGAACTGCGACACCAACCTGTTTATAACATGATAGTATCTTAGGCGCATATGTTTGTGTAAGATGTCTTCAACGTAGCTGTTTTAAAATAATTGAAGGGACCAGGTTCAGCGTCCGGACACTCTTGTTGCTATGCGAGATTCTTCAAATGTGTGTGTGTTTTTTTTTTTTTTTTCAGGGCTTTACTGTGGAATTGGAAGGCTCGACAACTTATTTTTGGTGGTATTGTCAGCATCCAAACTGAGTGACATGAGTACCTCCATGAATGCTTTCGGGTCTGTTCGGGCCAATTCTGGAGGAGCAAGCCTTTCATCAAACCTGTTCCAAGCACCTTTCGGGACCTCGCCATCACCTTCCCCACTCGATCCTGCAGGACCCTGCCTCATCATTCACCTGATTCTGGGCCGGGTCTTTAGCTGGTACAAGGCCTTGAGATTCTCATCCTTCCTGCAACTCCGACAAGCGGCACGGGTCCATGTTGCAGCAAGTTTATAGTCCTGCATGACGGGTCCATGTGCGTGTGTGAATCATTGGCCTGACCAGACCACCATGGCACCGCCCCGTGGAGTTGCAAAAAGCACTGCCATGAACCAGCACGAGGCCACAACATCTGGGTGTTCGTTAATAGGGAGACCCCACACCACTTGTTTTTGGTCTATTTCCCTTCTTTCAGGTGGTCTTTTGGAAGGTCTCCCTCTTTGAATACATCCGTCTCCTGAGTCTCACGACACACGCAGTCTCCGTTTTTGGCCCCGCGCTGGAAAGGTGCCCATGGCCTGACGAGATCGGCCACCAGAGCTGCCATGCACAAGTTCTAGGGATCCACAGACCCTGTTCGACACTGCTACCTAAGGTGTGCCCGGAGGGACCCCCTAGAGAAAGAACACCAAGCATCCATGAACGACGTTGGAGCGGCTGTACCAGATGCTCTTCGCTTTGAAAAGCCATTGATCGGGTGCGCTTGGCGCACCATCTCCGTTGTTGATGGACCATAGGACGCTCGAGCGCTCGAGGCTGGACCTCCGAAACCGACGACACCCAAAGACTGACCAAGGTGGGATCCCGATCCTTCAGGCGAGGATTGTCATGGAGTTGCACCAGCACTTTCGCACATTGCATGTCTCCTGAAGTCGGCTGAAATTGGTGTCTCCATCAACTGTGGCACATACCAAAAAAGTGAACAATTGTTTTTAGTATAAAGGCGATGACGCACGCGCACACACACACACACATAGTGGATGCCTGACTGACTGGCGGGACTGGGGTTAACTGACTGGGTGTGACTTGCCAATGGATCGTCGGATCTAAAGGCCGAATCTAGCGTATTTACTGCAGCATGTTTGTCATCCAATGATTCCATGTGTTGTATTCCTCAAGGCGACCAGCGATGTGTACCTCTTCCCGCCTTCTTACATTGATACCAAATATACCAACGATGTAAAACCCATGTACGCCATGTAGATCTAACAAGTAACATGGCAGCATGACATACCAAGTAGAATCTCAAGACCTCTAAAATGAAATGGAATAGATCCACAGGAATCTTCCATAGATCTTGGTATGTCTGATGATCTCAAAACCCGATCTGATCTTCCAAGCTGAACAACAGGAATTCAGAGCCACATCGATCCATCCACAGGCGTCCACACCTTCTTCTGACTCATGGCGACGCTCGGCCGGACACCACTGCACCAGGTGGGGTGAACCCCACCGCAGCCGTCACCGAACCGCGCTCATCCGGGTGGAAGTGGTCAAACAGATTCGCATGAGTTGGGACCATCAAATCCGAACACCAAGCTTTGGATGAGTGAACTCCACGATGCACATGCGAGTGTGCGTGATCGACCTGTCTGACTGCACATGAGAGGCGATGAGCTCTCCGCCGCATCTGCCGCCCCGCCTTCTGTTCGACCTCAGAACAGGGCGAACATGTAACTACCCAATTGACCGGGAAGTCTACATTACACAGTCAAAGCCCGTGTCTTGGTGATATTAGAACCCAAACATACCCAAACCATCCATCTGACTGGCATATATATATACATATTATATGGTATGAGGCGTCAAGGTAAATATTTCATACATGGATGGTCTGGGGAAGGGAATTCACCTGCTTTGCTTGCTCTCAAGTCTTTAGAACTACCTTCCCCAAAACTCACATGGACACCTAGATCACCCTTGGATACCCTTGGTATACGGGAACATGGCTTCTCATCCCCTGCTGGCCATGCAATGTTGCTATATGGTTTGTGGGTTCAAAGTAAATGCCTGGTAGGCAGGTCGTCTATTCCGTTCAGTCTGTTCAGGTGGGGGCCACACCTGTTTTCCCGGTGACCCATGTTGAAACACAAACTCACATGGAGGAGCGGGCTTGGAGCGGAAGCAGCGGTGTGGACGATTGTCCTCAACCCCACGTGGTGTTCAGGTTCCATGTGGGTCTCGGTGGCCCAGGGTGTACCTTAGTGCACAGCCTGGTGCTCGTCGGAGTTGGGTCGCGGCGCTCGTCTTTCGCTCGCCGAGGTCGGTCCGGTCGGTGTTCCTCCGGACTTGGGGTGTCCATTTAGGGCGCCCCGAATTCGCTCTGATTCGGGGTGTCCAACCACCCCGACTCGGGCTGCTGGTAATATACCCAAACACTCCAGGCTATGGCATTTCTATGCTTACACCCGATAAAATTAACATGGAACCTGAACATGGACCTTTGGAAGACTACTTTCCTCTACAAACCAGTGGTTTTCAGGTTCCATGTTAATCTTCCAGAGTGTACATTGACCCTGAAACCACCCCAAGGTATGCAAAGACGCCAGTCCGCAGTGTCTGGGATATCGAGCTGTCCGTCACGCCAGCGACACCCGGGCGGCGAGAGTAGGGGTTTCCAACCACCGCGGTTCATGCTGGCTGGTTCGCGGAAGCAGGCGACCCTGGACCCTGAATGCGCATCAGGTTCTACGTGTTCGTTCGCTCCATGTCGTAGTTGCAAGGGTCATTTCACCAACCGCGAACGGATTGGGTCCTGCCACTGAGCCGAGGGTCGCTCAGTGGGACTCCCGGGCTCGGACCCTCGAAACGACACCCACCCAAATACTCCATGTACTCGGACCTTCCAACAGATGGTTTGTGGACACCCCTTCATTAACCCACCTCTAAAAGACGATTTAGAGACACCTCTTGGAGATTCTTGGAGGGTGCTGGTATGGAATACACATGAATACACACCATGGATCTTCCAACTATACCAAGCTTCTGCCTAACTTGGCTGTGATGCAAAGGCAAAAATGGGTCACAACCCTGAACATCTAAGAGGCGATCTAGAGACTTTTTGGAGGGTCCTGGTATACTATACATTGAAATCAACCACCCAACTGGCCGTTTCTCGGCCGTCCTATGCCAGTCCCAAACAGATCATCTCTGGGATAGTTTGATTTTTTCTGGCTCTGAGGCTTTGGGGGGTGTTCATTCATCCATGGGTTGGATGAAAAAAGAAACAGCCCAAGTAAAGGTTGAACAAACAGATCGCAAACACCACCCTCCGCCACCAGTGACAAGTCAGTGACAAGTCCTCGTCCTTGTTTGGGGCGCTTTTCGGTCCCTCTGGGGCCCCCAACGTGCACCACACCCTCACGCTGCTCGTAAATGGGCACAGCGATCTCCAGTGGCAAATCTTCACCCACCTGGCGACCGCAGCGGTTTTGGGGTCGAAGAATCCCCGGCGGCTCCTGGCGGCTCCACCGAACCGTCTGACTCACCGTGGGTGGTCGTCAGACGGGGTCGAAGACCGGTCACCCGGTCGACCGCCTTGTGGGACCGTCGGTTTCTTATAACGCGAGGGTCCCGCCATGTGGGACAAGCAGGTCGGCCATAAGGGGTGGTTGATTGAAAAGGGGTCGGCATATCAATCATACCAGTCCCAAATGGTACCATTCCCTCAAAAAAATAGAAGTACCCCGTGGGGTGAGACCCCCCAATGGTTTAGGGACTTTCATTCATCCACGGGTTGGTTGGTGGATCTTGGTTGATTGGTGAAACCCCACTGCCCAACAAAACTTGGTAAAGCTGTTCCTTCACCTCCCGCGACCCTGAACCCTCTTACGCCTCTTATGGACTGGTCGGACGCGAATCAGGCACCAGTCGGGCTGTTTTCACGGAGCGTTTGGGTTGTTCCTTTTCGAGTGCAAGACTTGTTGTTCCTCCAAAGGACCGTGTGCAGAAAGAGAAACCCACAGCCCAAAGGGCTTCGCCATGGCGCCGGCTCCGAACTGGACCCTCGCCGCACCTCGCGGTCTCCGGGGGGAGCTTCGGACCCGAGCGAAGCAACGAACGGCTGACGGATGGACCGGCTAGGTGGTCAGGCCCAAGCGTCCAGGTCCAACGGGTCGTCCGCTGAACTCTTCGGAAGAACTGCCGGTGACTCCGCCGGTGACTCGTCCGCCTGACGCTTGCTGACTCCGGACATGCCGCTGCAGTCTCCAAAGTACCGTAGGATATGAGACACGAGCCCATATGCAGTATGGCAAATTCATACATCTACTCATTGATACTCATATCCCTTTTCCGTGGTTACATGATGTTACTGTACATGAAGGGTCCAGGTTTTGGTTTGGCCTGGCCATCCTCGAAAGCAACATCAATCGCCTGACATCGGAGATCCTCCCGCCTCTTCCACCGAGGCGTATTCCCTGGGCGCCTGCTCAGGCGGTTGACCGGACGGGTGGCACACTCAACAACCGGTGAGGTTTGGTCGTCCCCGTCGCGGGAAACCACCGTTCTGAGAACGACCGACACCCGAGCCAGTTTCAATCGAACATACAGGTCCCGAAACACTCCATAATATATATATATAATATATATACCCTAGAAGTCCAAAGACTATATTTTGGCTGGCTGGAGTAAAGGAAGTTCCATTTCAATTCCCCTAAAGACCATTCTTTTAATAGTCTTTGACTCCCAGGGTATATATATTATAGTCCCTATACAAGGAGGAGACAGTCCCATGTATATGCCAGTCCAATGTATATTATACCTGGAAAGGCATATGAAAAGTTTTTTGTGCGAAGGCCGTATTTGGACAGAATTTATCGTATGGACATTTTTATTTACGAATTAGCGTATTTAATCCGTATATGGACAGAAAAACAATACCGTACAAAAGCGTACCCATATGAAACCCAAACTTTATCAACATGTTATCAACAAAAACCCAAACAATTATATTGATAAAACCTAATCAAACCCAATATTCGGAGGAATTCCAGACAATTTGTCCATTTGACAAAAAAGGTCGGATGCACGGATTTTTTGTGCGAACGTGTTTGAACAAAAACCAATGCACATTTGGATTCCCTGGTATGTATAATGCCAGTCCCGAGCGTGTCAGGGAGCTAGCTGAACCTTCCACCTTTTCGTTGACCTGGAATCTTCGGTGACCTGGTACCATGTTTCATCACTTTTCACTCCCTCCTGGGGTTGGTACCCACGCGACACGACCCACGTTGAATCCTGAAGGTACGGTCAGACTCCCGGTGTTCCACGGGGGTTTCCTCACCAATCTGGATCGCTTTTAGACCTCCAGAGGTACGTAGAGCTTTACCAACCAGCACCCTTGAAAGCGATCTGGATCGCTGGATTGGTGAGAAAGATGGTGCTTCCGAGAGCTTTCCAGCTTCACCAATCTGAATCGCTTTCTGGATCTCTAGTCCAGAAGTCCAGCACGAAGCATGAGGCTTCGAGGAACCTGTTGTAGCTGGTCAGGGGAGCAGAATCCCGATGTTTACCCTGAAAGCACGCCAACGGAACCAGGGTGAGCTACCACAGGCCTTTCACACCACCTAGGCGTGCCGTTCCTATTCGGGCCCTGCGCACGTGAGACGAATGATCCGGGGGTTGACGGATGGTTGGTGGTCAAATTGTGCCATGTTGACGGATGGTTGGTGACTCGCCACCAAAAGCACAATCAACATATATGTACTTGCACGTATGGTGTAGGCTTGGTAGTTTGTAGTGGTGAATGTAGGCCATACTGGCGCCACCATGGAGCTTTGGGGCTCTCTATGATACATGTCTGAGACTATGACGTCTTAGCCGCAGTCTTGGCCATAGCTCTCTTTTTTCTGGTAACCATTCATCCCAAGGCTGTTTTGACTTCGAGGGTGACCTAGCCAAACTGGACCACAAGTTTTGGACCCCAAAGCAGTAACTGGACCATCAAAAACCTGGCTTTCACGCCTAGCAACGGACGCACGGAGCCTTTATTGTTCATGGTTTCGAGGGCCCCAAACCAGTAACTGGGACCCTGTGATGGGACTCCAGGCCGCTCAAGGCGGGTTCTTCCGGCTTGCAGGGTGGTGGGGTTCTCCCCACTTCCGGATCTGAACAGGGAGCTAATGCAAGTTCAATTTGCACTCTAATGAAGCCGCACACACACATGTCCATCACTCAACCCAGACACTCCATGTATGGTATATTTACCTACATTGGGGTGGTTTGAGGGGTCAATGTAGGCATATATGACAGACATGGAGTGTCTGGGCAATGTCAGGGTGCCAATGAGATGGTCGCGATGTCCACCAGCGGATGGTCGCGATTCTGTACATAAGCAGGACATCCACCTCACCGAAATCCACTTCGAAGTCATGTTCGACCATCCGTGGATATCCTGTTTGACCATCCACCCATGTCTTCTCGCCTGTCTTCTCTCTGGAGGCATCTGGACGTATTCCTTAGCTCCAGTGTGAGCCGAGCAAGTTAAACAGGTCACCTACACCCTGGGCCACCGAGACCCACATGGAACCTGAGTTCACCACGTGGAGGTTGTAGAGGATTTTCCTCGTCTTCCTTTCAAGTCCATGCCAGTCGCCCGGTGGAACCTGTGGGTCTCCATTTCAGCCCATTTCGGAGACCTGGCAGTCAGTGAGGCGAAATTGCTTAAGCACGTCTGTGATCCTTTTGAGCGTTGTGATCACCCTTGTTGAAGCTTGCTTCATTTCGCAGACTCGCTAGGTTTGTAAAGCGGACGACTGGCCCCAGAAGGACAAGTCTACCGTAATGCCAAGACGAGTGGTCGGGAACCACGTCGAAACCCGTCGGAAAACACCCATCACCAATGGCGGGTGACCGGACGGCGAGGGAATTTGTTTTAGGGCTGGTAGGTGTTCGGGCTGGCGAGATTCTGGGTGTTTCTAGGGATTCTATGCTGGCAGGTGCTAATTGCTAAGTGATCAAGGCAGGTGCAAGTATATCAAGCACTGGGCAATTCGTTCAACAGCTGGCTGATTCAGTCTGCCCACTGCGTTAGAACGACTGGGGCGTTAATTCGAATCGCTAAACATCTTAAACTGCACTGCACTGCCCGAAGGCTTGAAGAATGCTCGAAGGTTTGATATGTTGCCACTTGACATACAACAAAACCCTTTGGTCACCACGTGGTAGACAAACAACAACAAACCGTGAAACACCAAAACAACAAAAAACACCAAAAACTAGACAAACATATTTTGGAAAGGAATTCTGCTTCCTGAGTTTAGCTGCCCATATTACATCCCTTTTAACATTTTCGGTGTTCGACCTCTTTTTCTGTGCAGACAGGTGATCTGGAGATGGCCCTCACCAGTTGGGTGTGTATGTTCATAGGGAGACACCGGAGACACCCATCAATGTTGGTCGATTTTCCCTACCCTATTTCTCCAAGTACCATCAAGTACCTCCTCAAATGGTATTATAGGACCCTCTAAACCCAACACAAACACCTTCGACACGAAGGTACTTGGAACCCTAGGGCTATCAACCATGTCTTGAGCTACACCACCCAGTTCGTCTTTCTGCTGGTTCTTCGACGCTCCGCGAGTTCAGAACCCGACTGGTCCCTCAAAAGCGAATTGGAGAACCCACACGCCTCCAGAGGATTTGGTTCCAACCCCCCCCCGAGTCATACACATGCCAACCCCTCTTGGTACCACCCTCTATGCACACATGCCAGCCCCCAGGCAGGCCGTGTCTGGGTCAGAATCCGGCCCCTTTCCGAGTGCCCCCCGCGTCACCCGCGTCACCCACCGCCCCACCCGCGCAGGCGACGAGGGGCGTGGAGTTCACGGCCCTGCAGCGACTCCATCTGCGGTACCCTGGGAAGGTCGATGGAAGCCACACGGTGGTGACACCGGTCCGCTAAGAGAGACTGACCAGCACATGAGGACGAGGACGAACACTCCGCTGTGGCCTGGGATTTGGGGCCCCAATGGCACCCGGAGGGTTGCGAGGGTCGAAACCTGTTCCAAAAGCCTCCTTGGTGGCGAGTCGCGAGGGTCCAACGAACGTTTGGGTGAACAGCCAGGATGCTTGACATGTCCACCTCTTCATGCTTGGGATTTTTTTGGTGGGAATGTTCTGCACCAAAGCTCCGTGACCTGGGGGGCTTCTGTAGAATCCACGGGACTTCTGGATGTATGGGGTGATCCTGGAATCTGCAACCTGGAGGCCAGCTCTCCTCAGTCGTATCTATCTCAGGTGACTCATGTGTAATCTTCTGCTTTAAGTCTTTCCCTCTTCTTACAACCTTTTCTTGCTGAGCCATTCCATTCAAAACCTGTGAAGATGTAGCTTGGACATTGGGCGTCTGAACATCTATCAATTCACCTCCAAACTCCTTGCATTTATATAGAGGTTTTTTAGGAGCGACAGTTGGGCTGTGGGGTAGCAGTGCAATAATCATCCGCAGGAAGCTTCCCAGTGACAGCTCGGGTTTGCACCTTGCAGTTGCAGGATTCTGAACAATCTTGTCAACAGATCTCACGACTTTTGGCAGTACTCCTCGGCCAATCCAAGTCATAGTGGCTCCATGTGGCTCCCAGTGTGTTGCGGCTCTCTTCTTTTGAGACATGCGTTTTCCATAAGTAGACTCAGACACGCATTGCGCGCGTAGAGTTTAAAGGCCAAAAGCACCGGCATGCCAAGGACATTCCTGTGGGAATAGCTGCAAAACAGTCCTGGAAGACGAGGCGCCTATCCGGGCCTCTCCGGTTCTTCCATTTTCCGGGGAGTATCTGCTTCTTTGGAAATGGTCCACATCTTGTGATGGACTTCTGAGCTTTTCTCTCTCACGTCTGACTGGCCATCGTGAGAACGGCCAACTGGCCATCGCGGGTGTCATCCCAAGGAGAGGCCACCCGCTGATCGGCGCCTGCCGCGCCTTCGGGCGGCCATCGCGGATCGGGGTCCATGGAAGGTTGACCCTGGAATTGACCAAGCAAAGTGGGTCTGTGAACAGAAACTCTCCAAGCCGCTTGTTGGAAGGTCGTGCCAGAGGCCCCACATGGCTCATCCAAAACCGAATTTGCCCTAGCAAAAAACATGGCTTTTGTATGCGAAAACATTTGTTTTTCCATGGTTTTGACGGCCCCTGGAGTGTCTGGGAACCGAATCATTGGACGAGAACACAGGGCGTTGAGAACACAGGAGCGGATGCCGAACTGCAGGTCGAACGAGCCAGAATCCGCTGCAAACCAGTGTCGCTTCTATTCCAGTCCCAAACAGGTCGTGTTTAGGACTGATAGTTCCAATCGCTTCCATTCAACGCGAGCGAACCCCACGCGTGCCGCCAAGGCAAATGATCGAGATCACTGCAACTTGGAGCAAGTTGACACCACAGACCGTGCCGCCAAGCAGAATGGTCGCTGCCATCCATCGTCTAGAATCACGACCCCTGCTCGGCACCGGTCTTTGGAAAGGACTCGGCTGCTGGAGCCAAGAATGTGTGAAAGATCATCAAAGTGTGAACGATTCCCTAGGGATTCACATACCTTCTCGGAAGCCCTCCAAGCCCTCCAAGAACTAGTCTCCAATCACATTCTCAGAAGGTACTTGGATCCCTAGCGATTCAAAAACTGAGGACCCTCAGACTGGGCCTGAACTGTTACTGGAGATTCATGGGTTGGCTTAGCCAACCATTCCAGACCATCGGACTGCCATATTGACCTACATTGGGGTGGTTCCAATGGTCAATGTAGGTAGATATTCCATACATGGATTGGATGGTGTGGGAATAGCTTAAGGGGTCCTTTTGTGATGACCGATGGGTCCCGTATTGCTGGTCGTAGATCCTCCAATGAACATCTTCGATGCCCCACTTAGTCTATAGGGGAGACAGTCAACAACGACCATACAGGTGAACTGTTTCTGTCAGCTGTATGATCGGCATCTACAGTTTTACTTCAAAACATTAATGATAATCCATGTATGGAATATGTGTCATTGGGTGGTGTTAGGATCAATGTAAGTATATAAACATTCCATATATGGAGGTGTTTGTAACAACTTGTGCTATTCTCGTCTCCACCCCCAAAGACTCTGTTGTCCATATCCCCGTGGACAAAACTACGAACACCCAGTTGGGATTTTAGCCAAAAATATCCAAGAGTGTACCAAACAAAACATAAGATTGTCTCGAGATCAGTGGTTTGAGCATCGGATGCCATCCAAACCACCTAGTTAAACAACAAACACATTATAAAGTCTGTGATATGACAACAACAAGTCAAACCGAACAGTAAACAAATAAGTATGTGGTTCGTCCGTGGTTCTGACTCTTTCAACCGCATCCCGGTTGCGTTCCCGGGAAACAGCCAAACGTCCACGGTCTTCCGCTGCCCAAGCAACTCGACCACCTTCTCGACGACTTGCACTTGTGGCACCTGGAAACACCGTGACCGTGACGGACCGTGAGCACGACCGTGACCGACCGACCCTTTTTCGCAGTGCGCCGTATCCCTCTCTGCAGCTCACTGTAGTAGATTCATGGTCGGTGGTGTACAGCATTTCCGATATTTCCAACAACCATTGTGAAACAAACCTTTATTTTAGTCAGGATTTTGGACAACAAAACAGGTCAACCCAACATTGAATTGGTCTTTGGAGGCTAGCCTTAGGGTAGTTTTGCGTGTAATATATATATATGTATATGACGACGCCGTGACTGTTTTATGAACCATGGAAACGATCTGCATTAAAACCAACACCGGTTTCAGGGAATCCTCAACTGAATGCGCCGCATAGTCCGTTATAACTTAGTATACCTTGTATTCCAGTTCATAGGGGGGTCAAACTGTATTTTTCCCGAGAGCGCCTGCGAAGGGTTCTTCGTAAAAAAACATCTGCAGAACTACGTCTCATCTACATCTTCACATCTTCACCTCTGCACATCCACATTCTCACCTAAATCTCTGCTCATCTTCACATCTACATTCACATGCACATCTTCACATCCTCACATCAACATCTCTGCTCATCTTCATCTTCACACATCTATATCTCTGCTCATGTTCACATCTGCACATCTACATCTCTGCTCATCTTCACATCCTCACATCTACATCTCACATCTTTACCTCTCATCTACATCTCACATCTTCACCTCTCGCTCTTCTTAACTTTCTCTCTTAAGGCCGGGGGCAGTGCCGCCGGACCGCCACGAAACGCAACCCTCTGCGGAGATCGTGCGTGTCGGCTGCGCGAAATGCAGGCGAGAGTGCGATTGGTCCCGGTCGCGAGCAACCCTCTGCGGAGATCGTGCGCGTCGGATGCGCGAAATGCAGGCGAGAGTGCGATTTGTCCCGGTCGCGGGCAACCCTCTGCGGAGATCGTGCGTGTCGAGGGCGCGAAATGCAGGCGAGAGTGCGATTTGATTTTGTCCGGCGCAACCCTCTGCGGAGATCGTGCGTGTCGGATGCGCGAAATGCAGGCGAGAGCGCGATTTGATTTTGTCCGGCGCAACCCTCTGCGGAGATCGTGCGTGTCGAGGGCGCGGACTGCAGGCAAGAGTGCGATGTGTCCCGATCCGGAGCAACCCTCTGCGGAGATCGTGGGCGTCGACTTTGTAGTACAACTTTAGTGCGCGGAGTATCTGGGGAGCTGGGGGATGAGAACTGGCGACTTTCTAGTGCGACTTTAGTACGCGGAGTATCTGGGGAGCTGGAAGATGAGCGCTGGCGACTTTGTAGTGCAACTTTAGTACGCGGAGCAATCTGTGGAGCTGGAAGCTGAGAACTGGCGACTTTTTAGTACATCTGTAGTACGCGGAGTATCTGGGGGGCTGGAAGATGAGAACTGGCGACTTTGTAGTACAACTTTAGTACGCGGAGCAAGCTGTGGAGCTGGAAGCTGAGAACTGGCGACTTTGTAGTACAACTTGAGTACGCGGAGTATCTGGGGAGCTGGAAGATGAGAACTGGCAACTTTGTAGTACAACTGTTGTACGCGGAGTATCTGGGGAGCTGGAAGATGAGAACTGGTGACTTTGTAGTACAACTTTAGTGCGCGGAGTAAGCTGTGGAGCTGGAAGCTGAGAACTGGCGACTTTGTAGTGCAACTTTAGTACGCAGATGAGTCATCTCTCGCGGCTGAGTCATCTCTTGCGGCTGCTCTGGCGCCCCTGCAGCTGAGTCATGTCTCCGGACCACCCGGCTCTCTTGAGAGGTTGACAAATTTTAGCTACTTTGCTTACTTAGGGGGCCGCTTACTTATAACTTGACTTATAACAACTTATCTATAAGTCCATGTAAGTCCACTTAGGCCTAAGTCCATGTAAGTTCATCAAGTCCGTGTAATCGATCATAAGTTCAACAGCCTTGTTTCTTTAAAAAAACTTGTCACGTATGTTTTTTCTTGTTTTCGATGTTGCAAAGTGTATCAGAGCGGTCAACATACCATCAAATATGCAATGTATATATACTCGTCCATCACGTCTCTCCGCCACGCAGTTTACTGAAAAGGGACACTTGGCTATGTCTATACGCACTCGTTCTCTTGAGCCCGGCTGCATGCCCTCAAATGAATACCACCGAATCTCGACGTTGTGCGTGAGTCCACGAAACACTTACGAGACATCTCACCGTGCTATGTTTAGGGACGTCCCACCTTTACTGCTTTATTGCGAGACACCACGAGACATCGCGGAGACTATACCCCTGTCCGACCCACGAGACATTTACGAGACACTCAATTTCATTACTTTTCTCTCCTCGCGGGCTGTGCTTGACTCCGCTGCTCTTCTCTATAGGCTGTCCTACAGAGGCCCCAGTAGGCCAAGCGCGCTCTCCACGCGGTACGCAGGAGCCAGCAGTAGACCGCAAGCATCCAACGCAAGCGTCATGCTTCCTGTATTCTTCATTTTTCCATGTGTTTTGTGCGCACTTCCAGCAAAACGGTTTCAAACTCTATGGGTTCGCTAAGTATGGCTAACTCCGCTAAGTCCGAACTATAGATTCGCTCATTGCACTTAACCTAACTTAACCCAACTTAAGGTTCAAGCCTTGCAAGTCTACCTTAAGTCAGGACCTAAGTCCACCTAACCAGCCATGAACTTAGATACGTTAGGACCTAACTTATGGACGTTAAGATCTAACTTTCAATAACTTATAACTTGACTTATAAGTAGGCGGCCCCCTAAGTACTCATGACAGACTGCCACAAAAGAGTCATCGTGACGTTAGTATGTGTGTACTTCACCTTCATGACAAACGATGTTCGCTTGGACTACACAGTCGCTGGGAATGATCGTGATGTCGTTTACTCTCAGGTCGCCGTGTTCATGGAAACTTCAGTGTGAAACGTACGTTCTTCAGTTCTGTTTGAACCTCTTCAGCGTCGTACATCTACCTCAGATATATCGCACCTGCACAGCCACAATGTCACTCCTTCACATCCACTCTCTCATTCTCTCTTTCTATATATCTTTTTGACAGTGCTGGACAATTACATGTCTCGCTCCGGCACCTGGAGCAATTGAAGAGTTTGAGCCTGAAGCTGCGTCGAGCGATGACGTCGCCGTTGAGGTTGGATTTTTTCGGACTTGTATAGTGAAATTGAAATTTTCATGGGGTGAATATACTAAAATAATTTTACATAATCAGAACTTCTAAAACAAGTATTTTAATAAAACAAATACTTTACAATATTTGAATAAATACAATTTATTTTTGTACTTTTTTTCGGACTTGTATAGTGAAATTTAAATTTTCATGGGGTGAATATACTAAAGTAATTTTACATAAATCAGAACTTCTCAAAACAATATTTTAATTAAACAAATACTTTACAATATTTGAATAAATACAATTTAAATTACTATCTCCGGCGCGATTTTTTGTACCTTTTATTATGGAAGTTAAAAAATAGTCGTCGTTAAGTAAAGTTAGGTCCTTGAAGGCCGGTGATGTAGGTAAAAGGACGTCAAGGTCATGATAGTGACGTCATGCTGTTAAGTCATGAGGTCGTCATGACGTCAGTCGTCGGTCCTCGTCAGGTAAGGTCATGGTCATGACGGATGTGTCGGCGAAAGTTTGGGATATCTCATCCTGCATCCTCAATCGTCTTCATCAGAGTGTTCGTGTCAATTTCGACCGTTCCCATTCTTTTCAAGAATTGGGTCAGCTCCTCAGGGGTAGCAAATGAGTTACCAGTCGGAGATGGAGAGCCGGCGCCGACAGTCGGAGATGGAGGGCCGGTGCCGACAGTCGGAGATGAAGAGCCGGTGCCGACAGTCGGAGATGGAGGGCCGGTGCCGACAGTCGGAGATATAGGGCCGGTGCCGACAGTCAGAGATGGAAAGCCAGCACCGACAGTAGAAAAGAGACCTCAGACAGAGATTGAGAGACGTCACCGGTAGCACGGGTGGCCATTGGCGCCGCTGGCGCTGGGCTGGATGCCCGACAAACCAGCGACGAAGCGCGATCGAACGCTCGACGCAGCGACGAACGAGCCTGTGATGCCGCTGGTGCTGGGCCGGACGCGGGTGCTGCTGCCAATGGTGGTGGTGGCGGTCTAGAGGGCAGTGCCGCTGGAGCTCTTGGTGCCATCTTCATTGCCTCTGTTGCCGTGGCTGCCCTGACCTTGCAAGTCTCGGGTCATCAGGGGGCGCGTCAAGCGTTCCACGTCATAGTCCTCTTCCGGCTCATATCCTAAGGCAATAGCAGCTCGGAAGACCGTCTAGCAGGCCGTCTAGGCCGTGCAAAGTAGGAAAGCAGGATAATGATGCAGAATGCAAAGCCAGCTGCAACAACAAGTCCCTGCCAGCGAGCATGAATGCCCTGCTCGCGTTGGC